GGCGGAGGAGGAGGCAGACGGGCAAGAGCTGCGGCCGCGCGGCCGGGAGAAGGGGCGCCGGGGCGGCGCGCGGGACCGGCCTGACCTCCCTGTCCTGCTCACCAGGGACATCCGCGAAGGCGAGACGCTCAACGCCATCGCGCTGCAGTACTGCTGCTCGGTGAGGGCCGCCACACCCAGTGCTCCCCGGGCTAGGCCTCGGCCTCCGCCGCCGGCTCGGGCCCTGCCTGCCGCAGTCGGGGCGGGCCTGCTCCCGCTCTCGGTCGTCGGGCCCCTCGCGACCTCCCCGCCTGGCAGCTCTGCCAAATCTGTGGGGCCACGCGGAGCCCCATGGGGCAGGCAACCTGGTTCTGTGGGCTGGATGTGGCCCCCGGCGGGGGGCGGGCACACCTGGCTTAGAGCAGAGTGGCTGTGACCCCGCGGGCCTGGGCCTGAGGGAGTCTACCTGCCCTCGTCCCTTGGCTCCTCGGCCTCACTCAGGCCGCTGTCCAGCATGTTGTGCTCCATGTTCCTTTAGGTGCACTTGTTTATATACCTCTGACCTCACTCCCATCCCTGTTACATTTTTGTGTGTCCTAAAGAATCAGTGCTGTGCCCTTAGCAGCCTCCATCACCAAGGCGGGCTTCTAGTTTTCCTTGGGGCTAAGCCAACATTTCCCCAAAGGCAAATCAGAAAGCCTGTGTGGGACTCCCCACAAGTACGGAAATTAGGCGACGGAGTGGCAGCAGTGTTAACTGCTGCTCCCCTGCTGCCAGATTTCTGGAACCAGGGGAAGACCAACGGGCCAGAGGATGTGGCCCCGTTTGCTAGATCACTGGTCTACAGCGGGGCTCGTGTGCAGGGTCGCTGGCTAGATCCAGGGCTCGGGGTTGGATTAGCCCGTGGCCAGATCTGGTGCATGGGATAGCATCCATGTACCAGCTATGAGCCTCTTATCCAGTCTCCAGAGCTGGAAAGCTGAGCACTACTGGATCAGAGGGGAAAAAACTGTTTCAGTATATGCAACATAATAATGGGTGTGGGGGGAAAGCCTGGGGGAAGTGGGGGGAAAACATATTTATTTTGAAGAATGTAAGGATGAAGCCTATGTGGTAGTTGCAGGTAGGTGGATATGAAATAGAGCAGCCTTTACTCTGATGCTTCTTGATTTGAATGCTTAGTAGTATAATAACTTTCCCTTTATTTTAATGGAATTTTGCCTCATTCAAAATAATTTATGGAGAGGGAATCATATCTTTATTCCAGGGCTTTGAAGCTCCCTTGAATTGCCATAAATGGGTACTAACGTGGGGAATTACTTTTAATTATTTGTCTATATGTTCTTCCCTAGGCCTGTTGTGGCCTTGGGAGCTAACTTGTATGAGCTTGACGTGTTTCTATCTGTTCCCAAGCGAGGTTTTGAATAAGGTTCCTTCTTCCACACCTTAGAGTACAGGGTTTTAGTCCAGAGCTCCTGCAGAGTCCTCAGCTATTGTGGATCTTCACAGTATCACGGCATCCTGAGATATGTAGTGAAAGTCCTATTTAGACTTTCACCCTAGAAAGTCTGCCTCTTGCTTACAGGGTGTGCTGATTTGATTGGACTACAAACAAAACACACCTTGAAGAGGTCTCTCTCACCAGTAGCGGTTAAGACACTGTCAGGGTTGTAGGAGGCTTGGTTTCAAATGTTTTCTCTGCTTTAAACCCACATTGTGTGTGTCCTAGAATGTGTTGTGACCACTAGGCATTCTTGGTTGGGAGCTGCTTAATCTCTCCTGTTGAAACTTCCACTTAGCATAACATGCTTAAATATTTCTTAGGACAGACTGGAAGCCAAGACTGACTGAAGTTCCCTAAGCATACAGGTTCTAGTTGCTATTGAGCAATTCCATGTTTAAACCCTATCCTTATACTTGGTAGTTCCTATTGGCTAGTTTAGGCAGATCCCTACTTATGGCTTGCTCTGAGCCTTGCCACACCCATGCAATGAGTGTGCTAGGTCTCTGACAATACTTAGAAGGAAAAAAATGCACAAAATGGAGGGTGCAGGCAAGAAGGGACTTCTGTTTATATCAGTGTCCAGAAGGGAAATGTATGAAGGGGCTTTCTGCTACAATGGATGTCTTAGATTTACAGTAATAGTTAATTTGCAAAAAAATAGCTAGAGTTTTACAATAGAGGCAGAAGAGTTTTTGGTTGGGTTTTTTTTTTTCTTCCCTTCACAGATGGAACTGCTAGGATGAGTTAAATGACTTTTCCCCTCCCAAAAGACAATCAACGTGATTCTCTGGATTAAAATGGAATGTATGCCTCCCAGTAATGTGCTCTTGTCTGTTTCAAACTTATTTTAAGTTTGCTTATTTTCTGTCTCCCCTGAGATTACTTTTGACTGGGTGTCAATTAGGAAGCTTCATTTGCTGATTCAGTTTGGCAGAGATTCAACCTGATATGGTGGCCAAATCTCCAAATCCAAATTGAATCAGGAGACCCTTTAATCTCTCTGAATCTAATCAACCCTCCAAACAGATTCAGAGAGATTCAGTGATTTGGCCATAGACACAGTTTTATATGTTTTTTCTACTTAACTCAAGGTACCAGGTGGCTCGTGAATGCTGAGATGCTGGGGTGGGTGGAGCGTCCCACGGGAGCATGGGCGGGGGCCAGCACGCTCGGTGGCGGACCTGCAAGTGAACAAGAAGCACTTCCAGTCCACTTTTGGGTTTGCTGTGGAGTGTGTGGGGGACCCCCGCACCCCGACTCAGTGAATGGTGCCTTCTGGTTCTGGCGGGGCACCAGGGGTCCCCCCTGTGGCCAATCACCAAGGTGGGGTGGGGGGGGTCCCCCTGCACCTGGCAGCTGACCCGGAAGTAGACTGGAAATGCTCCCAGTCCACGTCCGGGTCTGCTAGCCAGCACACGGGGGGAACCCCCCATGCTCATGTGGGACACTCCATCTGCCCCAGTATCTCAGTGTTCATGAGCCACGCCTGGTACCTTGAGGTATGTAGAAAAAACATTTAAAGCTTTGTCTATAGCTGAATCGCTGATTCTCTTAATCAGAACAGAATCTTCAAATTTGGCTGAATCAAATCGGGACAGTGATCCGAATCGAATTACTGTCCTCCGAATTAAATATGGCTTGCTTCGTGCACCCCTAGTGTCAATTTATAAAATGTTACTTCTGTTCTGGTGCTGAATGCTGTCATTTGGCAGATTAGAGGACTGTTTAAAAGATTTACTGAATATTTTGTAATGTTTAAACTGTATTTCTTTATCTTGTTCTTAGGTTGCAGACATCAAGAGGGTTAACAATCTTATCACTGACCAGGATTTTTTTGCACTGAGGTCTATCAAAATTCCAGTGAAGAAGTTCAGTGTACTAACCGAAATGCATTGTTCTCCAAAAGGCAGGCAACTTTTGCGACCTGCATCCTCTTCTCAATATTGCCCAGAAATTCAAGAAACATCACCAACTTCTGATGCATTCTCCTCTAATGAGACTGTTGGCAATTTCTTGAAAGAAGTAGACAGAGATATAGAACAAATAGTAAAGTGTAATGATACAAAAAGAGAGAACCTTAATGAAGTTGTTTCTGCCTTATCAACGCAACAGATCTGCTTTGAACCTGATGGCAAAAACAAAAAGTGCAAAGATCCCTACTATGGAGCAGACTGGGGCATAGGCTGGTGGACAGCTGTAGTGATTATGTTGGTGATTGGAATAGTAACTCCAGTTTTTTATCTCTTATATTATGAGGTTCTAATGAAAGTGGATGTTAGTCACCATTCTACAATGGAATCATCTCATTCACTAGTCACATCGCCATCACATCAGAAACAAATTGGAAATGGAATAAACCCAGCAAATATCATGAAAGTTGAAAGTGAAGAGGAGATTCAGCATTATAATCAAAAGCACCAGGCAACTGTTGTTCATAGACGTATCACGTAATATTCAGATGGAGCAAAACCTAGAATACAAAATACATCTGGAACGTAGATAACACGTTTTATGATGTACACTTTCACTTAATGGGCAGTATTAAAATAAGGGAAGCAAAGCATCCTTGAATTTAACGAAGAGTTTTGGGCACCTTCTGTCTTTGGTTATGAGAGAATGCTTCTGTGGGTCATTTAAATTGTCAGACGTACATTTCCAGGTCTAATGTGAGATTGCGTGTGTGTGTGTGTGTAAACAGGACACATCTTTGAAAATCTTTGCACATTTGTTTCTATTTATGTCATTGTCTTATTTAAATTAATGATTGCTCTTTAAAGTGAAGTAAAAAATGCAGGTTTCATTGACATAAGAAAAAATTGACTATATCATTTACATCCTAAAGCTGTGTACCTTGAAATGTTTAATTTCCAGAAAGTGTTTCATACTCCAGTTATGTTACTTAGCCATACACAATACAATCAATACTTAAATAAGAATTCTACAGCTATTAAATGAAGATGCACCCTACTTGTTTTATTCACAACATACACCAAAGAATAAGTTGTTTCATGTGGGGGCTAGTGCATGGAACTAACTGAAATATTCTTAAAATAAAAAAAATCTTTTTTACATTGTTGTAAAACCTCCTAGAGGAAAAATGAAGGCAATGAGGAAAGGTTGAAAGAACTAAGATCACTTAATCTGGAAAAAAGAAGATGGAGAGGAAATTTTTGCAATAGGCTTCAAGTACCTAAAGCATGATTATGGAGACTGAAGACTAAGACTTTCCTCTGCAGCTGTAGGAGACAGGGCTAGGAACAATGGCCTCAGACTGCAACAGGGAAGACTGCTGAGGTTGGACACTAGGAAAAACTTTTCAATACAAGGTGACTATGCATTGGAACAGCCTACCCAAGAGAGGTTGTGTAATAGCCATCCTTGGTTACACAGACACTTGACTAGGATGGTTAGAGGAATCCTGTCTTGAGCTAGGGACTGGACTAGATGGCCCCCTGAGGTCCCTTCTAGCACTACTTTCATGTATTCTTTGGGGCCTTTGTGGTGAGGGAATTAATTTGCCAAGATGTATTTAAAAAGATATACTGAAATTCAGGTAAGTACTATGTGTTTATAACCTACTATTCTGTATGCTGGAAGACATTTTCTGACAACATGATGATTACTGCCTTTTAGAACATACATGAAATGGTGAAATTGCAGGGATAGAGTTTTAAAAGTAATTAGTTAAGGAATGATTGTGAGAAAGCTAAGACATTTAAGTTATCTTGAATCACTTGTATTAGAGTAAAAATGTATTTCTATACAAATAGGAACCACTATCCAATTTTGGATTTCTAATTCTGTGCACACGGTCTACTCTTTCTTATGTATTAATTTTGTACGTGCTTGATAGGCCAGCTTGAGGTCATTTGTTTCATATAAAGTGGGTATGTTTTGATGCCTAAATACAATCCAGTGAGATTTTTGTACATCAAGTTACTGCTCTGTATAGTAATTCGCTGCTTGAAAATTTTAACAGCTAAAAATTGGTTAAGCAAGCCTATGTGCCTTTTTCTGGTCTACTGGTATGGCAGAACAATCCAAGGCATTTGGTACTTGCCTTGACAGTTCCTTTAGAATCCTTTTTATATTAAGGAAATATTCCCTTCTAGTTGCATCTTAAATTGTGGAAGGAACTGTCTTTCCTCGAAGTGATCTCAGGCAGCTTCTATCTTCGTGTTTATGAGTGGATGCTTATGGTAGCACATACATGGGCCTCAGAGAAACAAAGCTACTTTTTCTGCTAATTTCTAAAATATTTCAAAAGAAGCTGCACAGAAGCTGGCCTAGAAATTTGCTTTGCAGCCACTGTTCTGCTCTGAAATATCTGCCCCTAGAGAGAGGCAGGTTTCTAAACTGTAGAACTTTTTTGTTGTTGTTGTTTTTTTAAAGTTGCATCTAACAAAAGGAGAAATGACAAGTTTTGTCTGTTGCCCTTTTGTTTAAATATGGGAGGGATGGTGCTTATGTATTATTATTAAATATGAATTAGGATAGTGCCTATGACATGCTATTTCTCATATCAACATGTTTATTGTAATGTTCTGCTTATAATTATTTGGCTGTACAAATAAACTGCTGAGATTAAATGAAAATAGACTTTTGACCAAAAAAAAGTTTGCAGACTGGGAAGGAGTGGAATATACTTCACTGTTTCCTAATATGCTTAAACAGTATCCACCCAAGTGTATGGTGTAAACAAGTAATTCTGAGAAATGAAAGTAGTACACCATGAGCTCTTCCTCGATCTAAAATTCTGATGCAAGGTTTTTAAGGATGGCAAAAATAATTTCTTAATTGGGCTAACACTAGCTGCCTGTGCTGTACAGTGCTTTTAAATGTAAGCTTGTGACAATTACAGAAATGTGCATGTTGAGACTAGAATAGCTTAAAACTTGAGGGCAGATAGAAATACGCTTGCATTCTGTGAAATGTTTTGGGGCAAGCTGGGAGTGGTGAATCTTGATGAAGCAACATGAAAACAGGGGTTTCTGAACTGTGGTACATGAGTTTGATATTCCATTTGTTCACTCCATGATCTTTAAATATTGTGTGTGACCTAATAAAATTAGACTGCCACTACCATAAGAAAATAAAGTAGTAATACAAGCAGAAATTACCTAATGCTACCTCTAAAGATTTTTTTTTTTTTTTTTTTTTTTTTTTTTTTTTAATGCTACTAAAAGATTTTCAGGGCAGTCATTAGGAAGTGCCCAAAGAATTTACCCATGATGATAATTAGATTGTGTTGCAGTTTGCACAGTATTACATACTGAGAAACCTTATTCACTTGTATCTCAGACTTGGCTAATTATGTGGTTTTGGGGAAGGGGGTTTATGATACCTGTAACATATCACAAATCATTCTAAGAGAACTTGTGGAGCATTATATTGTATGGGAAAATGTTCTTGGTAGTAATTCCAAAGTATTCACTGGATAAATACTTAAAGTAATTTTTCTTTAAGCCACACTATACTCACCTGACCTTTGTTACAGCAATTTTTTTGAAGAGTAGAAAATAAGTTTTAACAAGTCTTATATATGACATTTACACTAGTATTAGAAAGGAGTCATCTATGTACGTTTTTAATTTGCTCTTTTGTAGGTGGTCTCATTCTGTACAACTGTATTATTGTTTTCCAGCTACTACATGATCAACAATGCAGCATCTTTGGTTAGTTATACCACTAAACATTAATCTGATTGCACTCTATAGAACAGATTTCCACATAACTGAATGATTTGAGTGCTGTGGTAAAATTAGTTTTGTAAAAGTTTTATAGAAAGACTTATGAGAGATGGTGTACTTGAGTGGCAAATCATGCTTTAAACTAGTCGATACAATATGCTGCTGCTGCTCACAAAGTCAGTTTTTAATCTAAGTGCATATTGCACTGTTGGGATCATGTAAACTTTTATTTAAGTCTGCTATATTTTGGAATACCTTGCCACAAGTGGTCTTCATATAACAAAAACATATTTGATACAGGCTTAATATGTAAGTATTTCTAGAAAAATCCTGGATTGAAGATGCAAATCTCTTATATAAAAAAAAGTCTGCTTTTAATTGCTTCATATTTTAGAAGAGTTTCTGAGTACTCTTAAAAAAAAAAAAATAAAAACTTTTTTTTTTTAAATGAAAGTTGGTAAACTTAAACATGTTCTTATTGTCTGTATATCTCCTTACTTCATTAACACATTACACACATTATGTACAATCTAACGCTACATTTATTGGGTAATGAAATATCTTCATTTGTCTGGTTAGATTGGAGTATAATACTCACACCTAGCATGTATAAATAGAACACACTTTAGTTATTCACGCTTTAATTTATAAGTAGACTTAAATCCAGATCACCAAATGGGAGCTTTTTACCTACTGTGACATTTCTAAAAATGATTACCCCACTAAAAAGGAGGGAGGGGTATTGAAGAAACAAGAACACTAATACAATTCCAGAAAGCCCTTCCCCATAGTGGCTTCTCTGCATAGTGGCATATTAACCAACCTTTACCTGTCAGACTCAGAGCTTATATCTGAAGCCCATTTTACTTCATAAATAATTTTCACTTGCAAAATATTTTTTTTTAATTGATTAACTGGTTTAATTCAATATAATAGCAGAATTACAGTCCATGTTCAAATTCCAATTTGAATTTCAATAAAGGAAAAACAAAGTGATTTCAGTTCTATACATGACAGGGGGAAATAAAACTGTCAGTGTATGGAGCAGTTGCCATAGTAAGGGAAACTAAAAAGGCTAGGACTCTTGGTGATGGGCAGGGGGGACAAGGCTGAACTCCTCAACAAGTTCTTTGCCTTGGTGTTCCTAAGTGAGGGGCGTGACAAGTCTCTCACTGGGGTTGTAGAGACACAGCAGCAGGACGCCAGACTACCAAGCGTAGACACTGAGATGGTACAGGGTCACTTGGAGGAACTGGATGCCTTTAAGTCGGCAGGCCTGGATGAGCTCCATCCGAGGGTACTGAAGGCACTGACTGACGTCATTGTGCAACCACTGGTGATAATATTTGAGCAGTCATGGCGCAAGGGCCAGGTCCCGGAGAACTGGAAAACGGCCAACGTGGTCCCCATTTTCAAGAAGGGGAGGAAGGAGGACCCAGGGAGCTATAGGCCAGTCAGTCTCACCTCCATCCTAGGCAAAGTCTTTGAAAAAATTATCAAGGCTCACATTTGTGAGAGCGCGGCAGGACAGATTAAGCTGAGGGGAAACCAGCAAGGGTTTGTAGCAGGTAGATCATGCCTGACTAGTCTCTTTTTATGACCAGGTTACAAAATGCCTGGACGCAGGAGTAGGGGTTGATGTCATATACCTAGAATTCAGGAAGGCCTTCGATATGGTATCCCACACCATACTGTAAACAAGAGGCTGTGACTTAGATGACTACACAGTCCAGTGGGTGGTGAATTGGCTAGAGGGTCGCACCCAGAGAGTCATAGTGGGTGGGTCGGTATCGACCTGGAAGGGTGTGGGAAGTGGAGTCCCGCAGGGTTCAGTCCTTGGACCGATACTCTTCAATGTCTTCATCAGCAGCTTGGACGAGGGAGCGAAGTGTACTCTGTCCAAGTTTGCGGAGGATACAAAACTGGGGAGAAGTGGACACGCTGGAGGGCAGGGAACAACTACAAGCAGACCTGGACAGGTTGGACATATGGGCAGAAAACAAAAGAATGCAGTTCAACAAGGAGAAATGCAAAGTGCTGCACCTAGGGAGGAAAAATGTCCAGCACACCTACAGCCTAGGGAATGACCTGCTTGGTGGCACGGAAGCGGAAAGGGAGTCCTAGTGGACTCCAAGATGAACATGAGTCAGCAGTGTGACGAAGCCATCAGAAAAGCCAATGGCACTTTATGCCAAGCCCTATGAGAGACTGGGGCACCTGGACCTCTTCAGCCTCCTCAAGAGAAGGTTGAGAGGCAACCTTGTGGCTGCCTATAAGTTCATCACAGGGGCACAGAAGGGAATTGGTGAGGTTTTATTCACCAAGGTGCCCCCGGGGGTTACAAGAAATAATGGCCACAAGCTAGCAGAGAGATTTAGACTAGACATTAGGAAGAACTTCACAGTTAGAGTGGCCAAGGTCTGGAATGGGCTCCCAAGGGAGGTGGTGCTCTCTCCTACCCTGGGGCTCTTCAAGAGGAGGTTAGATAAGCATCTAGCTGGGTTCATCTGAATCCAGCCCTCTTTCCTGCCTATGCAGGGGGTCAGACTCAATGATCTATTGAGGGTCCCTTCCAACCCTAGCATCTATGAATCTATGAATCTTCAGTTTGAAAAGGAGAAGGCTGGCTGTGATAGGGATCATGAAGGGTGTAGACAAAAGTGAATATAGAACTGCTATTCACCAAGATCCAGAATACTAGGACTAAGGGGAACCTACTGAAATGTGGGAGTCAGAGGTAAATCTAACAGGAGAAAGTACTTTTTCACACAGCATATTGTTAATTTGTGGAACTCATTACCACAGGAGGTGCTAGAGGCAGACACTAGCCAGGTTAAAAAAATAGACTAGGCAAAATCATGGACAATAGGTCTAACAGCTATTCAACAGAGCAGTCAAAGATGTATCCTCTGGCATCTCTAAACCAACAAATGTGGATGCCTGGCAGGGTTATGGACATGGGATTAATAACTTTAGGTCAGCAGTTCTCAGCATTTAAACTCAAGCTATCCCTTGGAAAATGCCAGCTCTTCTCACTTTTTTCCCTGCTGAAAAATAATAAAAGCACTTTTTCTATTGTAAAGAACATAAGACCACAACTATGGATTTTTATTGGAAATCACTTGGTTTATCTTGTAAATCATGTTTGTAAACCTAACAATGCTAATGTGTGGCACTCTTGAAAGGGCCTCAAGGCACCCAAATGCTGTGACACCCTGGTTGAGAATCATTGCTCTGTCTAGATGTACCCAGTTCAATGTTCTCCCTCAAAGTATCCATTCCTGCCACTCATAGACAGGCCTATTTGATATGCCAAGGGTCATAGGCTTTTGTCCATCACAAAAACTATAAGCCTCCCTTAATAAGGGAGACCACAGAGGACACTCATAGACAGGATCCTGGGCTAGACAGACCATTGGTCTGACCCAGTATGGCACTACTTATGTTTTTATGTCATACTACACAGCTTAGCCCAAGGCCCTTAGCTGAATTATTTGTTCCAGTGAGAGAGTTTTTCAGAACTGTGGCTTTGTTCAATTTCTAAGCACATTTCCTAAGTGCACGAACTAGTCTCGTTTTAGTATCCGTTCTGGGCACCAGGGTAAACTAATTCACATTATTTTTTTAAATTTGTTCTTACATTCCATTTGCAGAGCGGGAGCAACTTTCAGATTCACTCCTTCTTGGTCATGGTAGCTTCAGTTTCTATAATAGCCAGATTGCTGAACACAACAAGTGGTTTTCAGTGCCTCTCCTACCAACTTGCTCATGGATGACACAAAAGATTGCCTTTCCAAAAGAAGAGCTATTAACAACTACAGTAGGAATCAGCAAGCCAGATCCAACCCCCGGAACCAAGCACTTTCACCTGCAGCAATGATCTGATCAGAAGCATTGGCTCATCTCTGATGCAAGCCAAGTTCTTCAGGTCCACAGCATTAAAAAGCTGCTGACCACTGAACTACAGGATAGTCTGAGCAGGCATAGAATAATGCATAAAATCTAACTAGTTGACTGGTGCCTTGAGGTTAATTACCAAAAGCATCCTTGGAGATGCCCAGCCACAAACTGATAAATGCAGCCATATTGTCTTTAAAGCAGTGCATTTGTGTAGTCAAGTCAAGGATATTGTTACCGGGGCAAAATAAGCATCCGCCTACAAATTAACCCTGCCTTTTTCTTCATGTAGTTAAATATACTATATGCACATTTATCCTTTTGCTACAATCCCTGGGTGCTGGCAGATGCTGTAATTGTTAAGGCAGTAATTTCAGCTTTTGCACTGATGTCTGATGAACAAAGTAGTAGCGTGTAGTATTATTAGCAAGGATCCTGTTTCTGAGTATTTAAGGTCTGGAGGTCACATTTATAAATATAACTCATTTGACCATTTACTTTGGAACATGGAAAATGGAAGTCTTTTTTGAGACCGTATATTTCTAATAATGAAAAGAAGTCAAGAATTCCAGGTCTTATGGCCAGCATTGTACATATCATATATCTTAGATATCCACAGACTTCTAAGACATTTTTATCAGCTTCTACTCCAAACATCTAAAGCTGTGCCCTGCTATTTCCCTTCTTGTGGTTTTAGTTAAAATTCTTACTTGTGGATACTGAAACATGGTGGCTTCTTATATAGTTTCTTATCTGTTATGTCATTCTTCTGATGGTATCAGAACTCAATTGGCTTTTCATTTCATGGTAATTGCTTTTTATTGGACAACAACTTGAAAAATTTGCACTTCTCATGAAAATGAAGTGGTTGTTGATAGATCCATGACAGTCTGGCTATTTTAAGAACTAGCTACAGCTACCACCAGCTCTGATAAATGTAAGCAAAAGAGTTTTCTCTGTGGCCTTTTGACATTTACTGTACCCATCTCTTCCTTGGTTGGTGTAGTTAAAGAGCCCAGGTGCAAAATATGCAGAAATCCATGGGAGAGAACAGATACAGGTCTGTGTAGCCACTGAAGCTTGCATTAAATATAGTTTTTGTGAAGCCAGAGTCTTAAAAAGTAAGTAAACAAACAAGCATTATTTTTTAAGTTCATATTATTATTAGTTAGGATACAGGGAACATGGTAGGCTTCCTTCCTGTGCAATACAGAAAACAATTTATTGAAGAAACAAATTATTATACAAGGATTTGCAATATTTTCTTGCATAGCAATTAAGCATTTAAGAATAAAGTTTAAATATACATTTGATGTACACCCTGCATTATATTTCTCATTTTTTAGAATTACCTTTATTTTTTTAAATGAGAACATTTTAACCAAATCAGAAAAAAATGCAGCCATGCTTTAAGTTCTACTTGCACTGAGTGCTTGCATAAGTGTTCTATAGATTATTCAATATAATTTCAGAATCCAGTCAGCACCAAGGAAAAGTATTTGGCACACATGCCCCAGCCACCAAGAAAGGAAGCTTTAAAAGGCTTACATTCCATTTTTTAAACTAAAAACTGGAAATGTTTTTCAAGCTGAAAAACAATTTCTCATTGGGCAAGAACATCTTTATAGTTTCCAAGCATTGGTGATGTTACCAGCATTTATAACATTGGATGGAAAAGAAAGCACCAATCTGATCAGCTAACACAGATCCAGTTTGTGCCATTAGGGGATGACAAAAGTACAGATAAAAGACTTTTAGTTGTACTATATTGTCCAGATCAATAATCCTAGGGAAAAATATCCATTTCCTATTTTTCATTTGTGTTATTACTCTGAAATTAATTCTTAAATGGCCATGACCTTAATTAAAATAAAAAGGTCTCCGATTGGTATTGTTTTAGCATCCTTCAGCATCTTTTCCTTGAAAACAGTAGCTGTGGGTATTCCAGAAAAAAAAAAAAAAAAGCATAAAGTAAAAAATACACACAAGAACATGTTTTTTAAATGTTTTTTAAATGGAACCTATTACTATCATATGTTGCTCTCTACACATAAATATTAGACACAGCTGAAAAGGCTGTTTCTACCTACTGCTGTTACAAGTAACCCCTAGGATTACTGTAATCGAAAGATCAGATCAAATCAACACATTCATACTCAAATACACAAAAATAATAAAAGTCATGATATTGTTCTCACCATCATCATGTTTCTCTTCTATTATAGATGGTTTTCTTGATCCACGTTTCTTTTGTTTCAGACTCCAGTCTTACATGTAATAGTTATTTGGGAACATATATTTAATAAACAATGTTTACCTAGGTAGTATTTTACAAACCAATTCAACAGTTCATGAGGTAGGCAGTATTATACTCACTTAAAAATGGAGAAACCAAGGCAGACAGGTTGACCTGTTCAACATCAAAGGAAAACTATCTGAAAACCAGTACTAGAAATTAGAATTTTCTAATTTCCCACTGCCATATTTTGACCTCAGTTACATGTTCTCTAATAAGCCCCAAACTTCACTTTTGATACAAAGTAATTCATAAGAGGCAATTTAACCTCATCCATTGCCTCTTCTTACACTCAGCAAGAAATTGTTTTGAAAAATTGTACTTTTTTGGTTGACTGATGTGAAAAATTTTTTTTGACTAGAATGTGAGAACCTTTCAAAATATATTTTTACCTTGTTAGTCCATGGCACCAAAGTACCTTCAAGTTAGTATGCTAATTAAAGTGCTCGGTGATTAGTGTTAGTTCAATCCCCTAAATACCAAAGTTTATAATTTCCTTAGAAATTCGGTTGTTAAACAGGAACAACATGTATTCAAAAAGGTTCAAGCCCTGGTTTCAACAAAGTCCATAGGAGTTTCTCTATTAAATTTCAATAGGGCCAAGATGTGGCCTGTAATGCATAGAACATAAGAAAGTGCAAACGCGTAGGCACAATTCAATCAAAATACATACATTCTTTTCCAGTACGGCAGAGGCAATACAATGGCATATATCATATGAGAGATTCAGAGTACTTTACAGTGATAAATATCTGTCTGCAAAATAATTGGCAAGAGCAGAATATTGCATCTGGTCTACCATTTTTCACCACAATAAAATAATAAAAGCAAAGTGTCCAATCTTCTGAGCACATATGTACTTAGTCCATGTACGTACTTAGTCCTTCAAACTTTATTAGCTGCATGAAGAGTTGAGGTTGTTTGGCCCACCTCCAAACTATTTAAACGGAAATATTAAAAGGCTGAAGGACATATTAACTAATAGGTTGCTTCATCCATATTGTCATCACTGTCAGCACCAAAGTCATCACCATCTTCAAAATATGAAGCAATGTAGTCATTTTCCTAAATGAAAATATAACATAAGTGAAGGTATGTACTTTAAAATATAATTTAAGCAGATGAGGGAGATATTAAATTCTCACACAGTGTTTAAATAAGGCTAGTCACCTCATGTTGTATTCTGATTAATACTAACATCTTGAAACAAACGGTACAACCTCCTTCCTTAATTTGATGGGAGACCAAAAAGGAAAAACTTAACTCCTGGGAAGTTTAAATGTTAGTAGTTTCACCTTTTCCTTTTTCACTAGGAGACCTAGTTATCAATACAAAAGTATTGCCTTATATTACAGTTGTAAAAGATAAGTCATGATGTGCATAACTTTTACTAGCAGTTTCTTTGTGGGCAGGTGCTTGATTTCAGTTATCATTCCTGCCACTATATTAAATCTTTAAAAAAGACTGGCTCTTTTAGCAGATCTAAAAGAGCCATTATACCTCTTCTTGTTCCTCTTCATCATATTCTTCTTCTGCTGCTGCTGTTTCTTCTTCTTCATCCTCCTTGTCTTTCTCTTTGTTTTTCTCTTTCTCTTCATCTGATTTTTCTTCTTCATCGCCTTTCTTTTCCAACTCCTGTCATAAGTCAGTCACATTAACTACATATTCTGTTCACAGCACACCCTCCACACTACCAAAACACAGAATTCAGGTTTGTTACAACCAGCAATTGAAACAACAATGTAGGTAAAATATGTGCCTTAATACAATCCCAGTATTTTACCAAGACTTTGTATATCCAATTCATCAGATTTACCCCAGGAGGTGAATGGTTAAACAATTAAGCGATCGCCTCAGTGATAACCAGTTCTAGCTTACTGGTTATCATTTAGCCTGGAGCCAGGCAGTCTGGGAGGGAAGGGAAGTCCTGCCACGTCCCAGCAAGAACTGGAAAGTGGCAGGGCAGGAGGGAGGGAGGGAGAGAGGAGAGAAGTGAGGAGAAAGGGAGGGGGGAGAGGGCAGGGGTGACTAATAGCTAGGCTACAAGGAGTGAGGGAGAGGGGGATGAGGAGGAGGGGAGGGGGAAGAGGAGAGGGGACAGAAGGGGTGCTGCAGCCCCTTGCTGGCTGTTATCCCTCCAGAACTTCCTGGGCTGTGCTGCCTGCCTGGCGGGGCAGCTTTAGCCCCTGGCTCCCCATGCTGCTCAGGGTGGGTGGGTGCAGCCCTTCCACCATGGCAGGGTCAGGCAGGGCCTCCCCCCCAACAATTCACATTGCCATGGGGCACCCACCCCCATCTCTATGCCGGACCAATTAATCATTTTTGCAACAGGTTAAACAAATATTTATATAAATCGGTATTTACACCCCTAGTTACCCCTGCTTCTTTTGCAGCTAACCTTCCTCTATCTGCCACCTGTAGATGTGCTGGGTAGCAGTACAGTTTTGCCACCAGTCGTGGATGAACCGGCAGTGCACCACCAGGACGTGATAGGGACAACAGATGGCGATTCTTTCCCTCCTGAAAAGCACCTATATCTTTTGACAGTGCTGTAACATGGTGTGTACAGTTAACCACTATAATAAGCCTGCCCAACCCCCAGCCATGAGTCTACAAGTCCTCAACAGTGCAACATGGAGAAGATGTTAGAATCTCAATGGCTGTGAAGATGGATGAAGGCTGCAGTGGAATGAGATCTCCAGTTGTCTTGGGCTCCTTGGCATTGGATTCAAGTCCTGTTCTGTCAAGAACTGTGTTGAAGTTGATGTGCAGCATCTTCTCCACAATAAAATGTATCATACATGGCATCTTCCATGAAAATGGCTTTTCCAGCACTTTTTCCAATCCCTTTGGTGACTAGTTATTGAAGAGGGGAGCAGGACAGTGAAGTCTGGAAACTCCTAGTCATGAAATGGCATGAAGGTAGCAGTTACAAGAAGGTCATCTAACACCTGGATGAAGACAGGATCGTGATTCAGCAGCTATCACTGCAACAGAGCAGACCTCTTCAGGATCCACCCTGCTCACCCCACGTGGGGAGGGGACTAGAAAAGGTGGCCGAAACATAGCCTGTCTACCTTCTTCCTCACTGGAGAACTGCATCCAGTGGGATCACCTTTACTATGGTGCAAAATCAACAAAGACACACATTCAATTTTGGGACCTAGAACATCAGCACCCTCATGGACAAACCTAATAGTGAACACCCAGGGTACCACACAACAATTGTGGCTCAAGAACTCAGGGGACACAATATCGATGTCAGTGTGCTGAACATAAGATGGGGAGCTCAAAGAACATGGAGATAGGTATAGCTTCTTCTAGAAGTATAAACAGGAAGGAGGATGCCGGCTTCACGGATTTGGTTTTGCCATAAGAATGAACTCATAAATCAACTCAATGAGTACCCTATTGGAATTAATGAGCACTTCTTGACTCCCCATCTTAAATATGCCACTGCCATTAGCGCGTATGCCCCAACTCTTGACACCATTGACAAAACCAAGAAGGAATTCTACACCAACCTTGACCAAGTCCTTTCTGACGTTCCAGAAAGAAACGCATTTTTCTTGGTGATTTCAAATGCCAGAGTTGGAAGGGACCTGAACCTCTGGAATGGAACCATTAACAAGGAAGGAGTAGGAAAGGATAACTCCAATAGCAACCTCATCTTAACCGAATTCATGGACCATGGACATACAATCACCAACACCCTGTTCTGCGAGAAAGCAGGTACAAGACATCATGGCAACACCCATGATCTAAGCATCAGCACCTGATTGACTATATCACCGTTTGTGTCTGGGATCGCAAAGATGTGCGCATTACCTAAGCTATGCTAGGACCTGATGATTACTAAACCAAACAGCGACACATCTACTCAGTTTTGTCACTCAAACTGGACGCCCAAATGACGACTGCAGCAGAAGCATTGCCAATGGAAGATCAACGTTGAAGGACTCAAGGACCCTACCAAGCAAGACGTTTTCTACCAGTGTTTCAATGAAAAACTGGCAAATTCCGATCAACAACGATGGTAGTTGGCAGCACTTGGGGTGCCTTCATGTTCATCACCACCAGCACCTATGAAGAGACACTTGGATTCTCTACCAGGAAACATCAAGCCTGGAATGATGAGAATGACCAGGAGATCTAAGAGTTGATCCACCATAAGTGCAAGACCTTTTGTGCTTGGCAGAATGATACCAACCACAAGCAACAGAAACTGAATCTCCAACAAGCCAGGGCAGAGGTCCAAACTAGGACCCGCAATATGAAGGACAGATGGTAGGAAGACAAGTAGAAGGAGATTCAACATATGTGCAAATCTCAAAGAAAGGGGAATCATTAACACCCATTGGAAGGAGCATTTTGAAGACCTTCTCAATCAACTTCCTATTGTTGACAAGATTGCTCTCAACTCTATCCTGCAACACCCAATCAAAGATGATCTCAGAATCCCTCCAACCTTTGATAAGGTGAAACTCTGGAAAACATTATTTCCTGTACCTTGGAAGCCATATCTTGCAGAAGGCTGACATCAAAAGAAATACAATATCCCCTTTAAAATGCAAGTGCATGTTCTTCATGATATTCAAGTGACCAAATAACAGTAGTTTGAAAGCTAGGAATCGTCTCAGAGACTGGTGGTTGAGTGACTATCCTCACCATCTTGAATAACCATATCGCAGAACAGTCATTTGGCCTGTGTGACATGGCTAGTATTTGCTTCAGATTTGGCCGATTCAGGGGGGCAGTGATTCGATTCGGTGATTTGAATCACTGTCGCAAATTGATTCAGCTGCTGCTAAATCAGCTGAATCTCTGAATCTAAAAGACCCCATCCCTCACCCGCTATCCCAGCCCTGTCAATGGCTGCCCCACCCAGCCCAGCGTTCCTGTTTTTTAAAAAAATAAATAAGTAAAAAAGCCCTGCACTCGCTGGCTGCTGTCAGGCACAGGAGCGATCCCTGTTGCCCCCCACTGCCTTGCACTGTGTTGGGGGCTCTGCCACGAGCCTCCAGAAGCCCTGATGGCTGCTGCAGCATCTGGCGAGTGCGAGGCTTTTTTTTTTTTTTTTTTTTTTTTGCCCGGAGCTGGAGCTGGGTGGGGCAGCCATTGACAGGGCTGGGAGAGCAGGTGGGGGATGGGGCCTCATGGCAGAGCCCCCCACACAGTGCGGAGCAGTGGGAGGCAGCAGGGATGCCCCACCCCCACCCCCCCGCCGGCCTGACAGCAGCCGGTGAATGCGGGGCTTTTTTTTCCCTTTTTTGAAGTGCCGGGACACGGGCTGGGCGGGGAAACCATTGATGAGGCTGAGAGAGCAGGTGTTGGTCAGGGATGGGGCCTGGCAGGTGCTCCCCCCACCCCCGCTCCTTCAGCACCCCTCTGTCCCCTCATTACCAGCACGGAGTCTGGGTCCAGATCCCTGCAGCAGCAAGTGGGGACTGCCCAAATCTCCGAAGCTCTGCAAATCTTTTCCGAATAGATTGGGAGAGCTTCAGGTAGATTCAGACCTTTTTACTGATCTCCTGGTTCGATTCAGATTCAGAGATTCGGCCACCAAATCAGGCTGAATATCCTCTGAATCGAATCGGCACCTGAAGCTTCGCACAGCTCTAACAATCATCTGTTATCAAGGCCAGAGTAATGGCTGATTTATGAGATCACTCAGGGAAGATTGGAACGTAACCATTTTGTTCTCTAACAGAAACTTCTACTGCACAATAAAGACAATGCAGGCAAATAGAACTGCAGTGAGTAGGTCTTACCTCAATTTTTTTCAACACATCCACATTACTTTTGTTTGCATCAACTTTTGCATCAACTTTTGCCTTTTTTGGTTTTCCACCTGCTGATATAAAACAAGAGGTTATTTCTTGTGTCTCTTAGAATTCTAACAAAGATCGTATATCTACTTTAGTATTAAAAGTTCAGTGTTAGCATCTATCTTGAAAAACTAATATAACTTCTCTGCCATTTGCTTACTTTTATCTGGCAAATCCTTTATTCTTCTCTGAACCTTAATAGCTCAAATTATTATAAATGAGGGTTGATCTAAAATTCAGCTTTGAATATGCATTTTACCAAATTTTGGCCCAAACAGACATTCAGCTTCAGTCTAATAATTTACAAATGTATATTCAAAACTGGTTAAGGAAATAAGTGAAGAAAGCTCTTAATCATCATAATTTCTCATAATCTTAAAGATATTTTAAAACATCCTTACAATCATTTAAATTCCTGATGAGCCAATATTGATTTTCATTATGCAGTATCCTCAAGCTTGTAGGAGGTGTTTGCACCAGATGGGCAATGTTCATCTTACCTTAACTGTACACTCAGAAAGAGCTACGCAAGTTCTGTCTGTACAGGTGACTGACTTTTTCATTTGGATGCATGTAGCAGATGTGACTCTAGGATGTGGATTAAGCAGTCTTGAGGTTTAACCCCTAAGAATAGCTATACCTGTGGGGAGGCCTTGAGACAATCCTTTGTGCTAATTCACTCTTTCTTAAGAAAAACAAATCCTACAAGAGAGAGAGTTTTGGGGGCCGGGCAGCGGTGGTGCAAAGATTTCTATTTTTGGATAAAAGGCTTGCTTATGGTAGTATTTTACTTTTTCCTAGCACAATCCCCTATATTTTTCACCTTCTTTTGGTACATCAAGTACTTCCCACATCTAGAGGCAAGATATGCAATGGGGACTAGTGGTCTAATTAGTTATGACAAAACCCTATGGCCCCAAAGCACTGGATTATTTTCAGTGGCAGGAATAAACAAAATAACCTGTGCTATAACTCTTCACATTGTCTGGAGTACTGTGTGCAGAGGTGGACACTTTATCTCAAAAAGGATACTGCAGAGCAATAGGTAGGTCATAGAAGAGTGATGAAAGCAATCAAGGTCATGAAACAAGTCCCATGTGAAGACAGAAAAAACTGATTTTTTACCTTAGGAGACAAATCAGAGTTGACATGGTAAAATTCTAATATAATAAAAGCCTTAGACTGTCTGCCTGTCTGTCCATAACGCTCTGGGCCAACTGCGCATGCATCGCCAAGAGGGCGTGTGCCAATTGGCTGTGAGGGCCTGGAGAGTTACAGATAGAAGGGGTGAGGGAGCTGCCGCACTGTGCCCCCCCACCACCAACAGCTGGCAGGGAGAGAGAGGGGGAAGGGGAAAAGGTGGGATTTCCGATGGCAGACCCCTCCTGCTACCACCACCGCTGCCCAGCCCCAACAACAGCCAGGAGAGAGGGGGAGGCACCAAGGAGGGAAGGAGGAGAGGGAGCATGTCGCATGGTGCCGGGTGTCGGTGGCCGTGCAAGCTCCCCTTCCCCCCATTCCTGGGAGCCGGCAGCAGCGGGGGATGGAGCAGCAGGGGGGTGGGGGGAGGTGCACAGAGCCAGACGGGAGTGGGGGGGGGCCACAGAGACGGACACAGGGAGTGGGGGGTGGTGCACAGGGCCAGAGGTGGAGCGGCAGCACTGCAGGGCACTGGGTGGCAGCACTCCATCCCCACCTGCCTCTCACCCCCATCATTCATGATGGGCAATTTGCTAGTACTGTATATAAATAAGGGGCTAAAGAGTACTCCCTCACAGTTGTCTTATCACCAAAGAGCCAAGGGACATTCAATAAAATTAAAACCTGGAAAATTCAAAACAGGTAAAAGGAAACTGTTTCCACCCCCAGATACAGTTTACAGACAGTGGAACTCACTGCTAGATTAAGCTATTGAAGCCAAAAACTTAAAATTTGCCCATGTGAAGCTCTGAGCTGCTGCAATTAGGCAGCTTCTGGCATCTGAGCTAGAGTGGTTAAACCTTGTTCAGGAATCTCCTACAGTACCCTGCTGTCTTCTCTGGAGATAGAACCTTTGTTATGGATGAAAAAACTTACTGTAACCTCCCAAGAGTCATAGTACGAACCCTTTGCTATTGAACAATATTGAAAAGAATATTGCAGTTCAACAAATAAGGTAATATGCTTTTCGTAATACACTAGTACAGTCTGCAGTCTGGTCTCGTTTATCTGAACTAACTTTTTGAAAAAAGACTGAAGAACAGGCAAGAGGCCATAACTTTTATTATGCAGGAAGCATTTGTTATTGACAGTGTTGCCCTCAGTTGAATACTTTACCCAGTTATAGATGCTGTGGCAACAAGGATTTAAACATTGCTTCTTACAACTCAATATATTACATCTTTGAAGGAAGTTCAGTTGCTCTATGATAATTTACAAATTCAGTTTATTGACATGGCTGTTTATTGTATTTATAAATTGCTTTACTTTAAATGGGAAAGGTGAAAAGACACATCAGGAAGGGGACAGAATAGCTAAACATGAGCCTTTTCTCTACAAGTATCTGAAGGCTGTTAAGAGAAAATGCTTTAGCCTTTACAGGAAAAGTTCTGGGAACCAGAAAACAAAAAGAACAGTTTTCTTTTTTAAAGACTCAGGGAGGGAGAGAAAAAGATAAAATGCTTGGGAGAATCAAACTAACATACAAAACACACAGCAGAGTGTCAGTCTACTTAGGTCATCATCATAAGAGGGCAGCCATTAGGAAACAGACTCATATAATAGACAGTTTGTTGATTATGATCACCTCTACCTTTCTCTAAACATGGTTTCCAATGTTAAACAATATTTTGTTCTCAAGACAGCTGTCTGCACATCACTGATCTACAAATACTGAATCCAGTCAGATCTTTTGGGTGAATGCTAGCTGACACAGGGCACAGTTCAGGAGTCTAGCTGAAGACACAGGCTAGGAGTTGGAGAATTGTAGAATTATGTCCCAAGAGAGAAAAAGAAACGAGGTCTGATACTTAATGGGATGCACTTAAAAAGATGAAAAAGAAGACAGAGATGAAACAAGCTTGCTAACTGAGACAGCATCATGATCTAGAATAAGAAGTCACCCTCTGCAAGGGATGTTTTACTTGTGATATCTCTGTACTGTACCTATGCATTGGTGGCCACCTTCCTTTCCTACAAACCTCCAAACTTTTTAAAGAGCTTCTATCCTAAGGTTTTTTTTTTTTAAATCAGTTTTTAAAAGGGATATCTTTTTCATGTTACCTTCAGTTAAACTCTTCACCTTACCAGAAGTTTTTGTTATAGAAATTAAGAAGATAAAAGGAGATACTTTTGTCTTGAGAACAAAATATCAGCTAATGAGATATGAAAAATGTATTGGGCTCTGGGTCTTTAAAGCTGCATTTACAGTAAACATTCAATGTCACTGTGTAGCAAATGAACAATACATCAGATGATTTCTTAAGATGCAAGAGCTTATTGCTGGCTCAATGTTTATTTAGAGAGTGCTAATTATACTTTGGAACAACAGCTATATGCTGGTTTCTTCTTTTAGAATTGTATAAATAAGTATTTAACTTTCAGTAGACTGCTTGCATTCTCTTTCTAGGACCAAGCTTCTCAAAGAGGCTCTTAAAAGGAACAAAGCTGCCAGCTGAGCTGGTCTCCATGACTACTGCACAGACACTTTTCTGTTTTTTATCCTTGAACTGAAAGATGACATGAAAGATTTGAACAAAGAGGGAAATGAAAGTAAACAATGATAACATAATCAACATCTAGGTACACAGGTCAAAGTTCTGCTTCACATCAACAAAGCAATAGGCTTTAACATAAAAGTTAAAATAATAGCCATACATACTAGGCTATAGATAAATTCATATTCCGGTATTTTACAGTGAAAATTAAACTCAATTTTCTTTAAGAACAACCAATACCAACTCTAACTGCTGTTGAAGGATCTGGTTCACAATTCTGCCAGAGAGAGCTGAAAATAAACAAAAAAAGTAAAAATAGGGAAAAACAGAAAATAACCTACATTAGTTTAGTTTTTGTGTATGAATTAAACACAAGTCAACTAAATTATAAACAGGATAACCGGACAAAACAACAAAATAAGACAAAAAAGTTAAAAGATAGCAAAACAACAGCTGTAAGTTGTGAGTGAGGGAAAAGATGCTTAAAGATTTTTGGCAATTGAAAACAATGACAAAAGTCTTAAAAAACCTGACAGTGCTACAGTCAGCATCCAAACACATACTGGCACGACAGGCAGAGAAATATACCAGCTGCAACATTTCCACTGTTTTACTAACCAGCTCAAACAATAATTATTCACACTTGATTTTTAAGCACTGCATGTTCCTTAAAAACAAATAAGCTACCTTTTTTGATCTTCTTCCTTGGCTTAATTTCTCTTGGGAGTCTTCTCCAATCTGTAAGAAATAATTTTAATATACAAAACTATTTTATTTGTATTAAAATAGGTCCCCAAAAACTCTACTGAGGGCACATTATACTTGATTGTGTATAAAAACATGTTTGGCTTTTAGAATGAGAATATTCCCCAATGGAAGTCAACTGTGCCATCTGTCTTTTGGGTTTGTTTGTTTTTTTTAAAGTTAATCCTTTTACAGGATCATATGATGAAGGAATTTCTGCCCTGAGGAGATGTCCTGACATAACAGTGACCTTTAAAATATATATATTATGATCAGCCTATGATAATGAGCTATGGTAGCCCTTATATTCAAAATTAGGATTGGCAACTATGACTGAAGCTATTCCGGGAGATTTTTTCCCTCAACATGATGCAATGTCATTAATAGGGGTGCACTGATAGTGTTTTTTTGGGCTGATATAGATGGCCGGTTTTTAATGGGGGGCGGTTTTTAATGGGGGGGGCGGCATACCGCTGCTACACGCACCCCGGGAAGGCAAGAGGGGGCATGTGCCCCCGGATCTGTGTGTGGCATGAGGGCGGGCTGCTGCTGTGGGCTGGCGCTGGGGTGCGTCGAGCTCTTCGTGGCAGGGCTGGGTTGGGCTGGGCTGCGCTCGGGCTGGGCGGTGGCAGCACTGGGAGGGGGCTACAGCCACCCCAAAATTCCCTGTAGCCCTCCTCCCAGCACTGCCACCACGCACCCCGAGTGTAGCCCCGGCCCAGTCCCCCTGCCAGGAAGAGCCCAGCGTTGCCCCTGGCCCCAGTTCACAGCAGCAGCCCGCCCTCACCCCGCACACAGATCTGGGGGCACACACCCACCATGCCGTCCTGGGCTGTGTGCAGTGGCGGGAGCTGCCACCCCCTCTCCCCACATCCCCTGGACAAGACACTTGCGACTCCATCTCACACCCTGCCCCAGCTCTGCAGCACCTACCCCTGCCCCAGCCCCATTCCCTCCCTCACCACTGGGGCCTCGATCTGCCCTCCCCCCCGGCACACCCCTTCCCTCACAACAGACTTACCAGCTGGACCCAACTGCTCTCCATGCTGCCAGGCTGTGCTCCTGGCTGCCTACATGCACGGGGCATTTATCGGCGACATTATCTGCAACATCAGCCAAAAAAGGCTGATCGCAGATACAGTCAATTTTCCTTATGTCAGTGCTGATCTCATATGGGATTGATGTATAAGTGCACCTCTAGTCATTAATTGTACTGTTCAACCCGTTCATAATATCAATCTCCCAAATTGCTTCCAATAGTCACTGGGAAATCGATGAAGACCCGGGAGGGTTGGCAACCCTACTGAAAATCCCAAATACCAATCACTGATAACTTTCTAAGTTTTCTTTGAATAAACCTTGTGGTCATATGCAGTCCAAATTTAACTCTTCCAGGAAAGTCTGAGGCAAGCCTTAGCTACTGTTTCCCAAGCAGGAAACTAAAAAAGTTAATTTTTGTAGGCTGTTCATTCATTTCCTTTAATATCACAAATTTGACATGTCGTCTTTGATAAGGAACATGTGATTTGGTAAGGTCTCAAATGCTATTTGCCTACCATTTCTTAAAGCTTTGGTCTTCCATTTTAAAACAAACTAAAAGATTACTGAAGACCCACAAAGAATTTCTTTGTGACAATGTACATTATTACCTGGGGTCCATGCCATACGCTCTTTGCTTAGCTGCTGGTATTTTTGACTGTATTTTTCAATTGCTAGAGAACAAGAAAAAAAGCCAGCAATTGAATAAAACAAGGTAATGCAAACAGTGTTCTTTATATTTCAATAAGATACGCACACTTCTCTATTTTCCGAGGAAACATTTTTCTACTATATGACTGTTGAACACTTATGCACATGCTAAACTTGATTACCAGGAGCAGCCCCACTGAAAGCAATAGGACTTTCAACCCTTAAGTGCTTGTAGGATCTGGGCATCGTATCTAAAGGAAGACTACGTATTTTTTGTCAGTCTTAACTGATATCTGCCTTCAACTGGAAAACAAAACAAAACAAAAACAAACAAACAAAAAATATTTTCCTTTACCAACTGTAAAAAGCACTGAATCTACTCAGCATCAACACAGAAGAAAACAGGATTGGATAACAGTAAATTGGCCCTTCTCATTTTCCATGTTTTGCAGAACTATTTACCCATGAAGCAATTCTGTAAATCAAGTAATATCATTTCTGTTGCAGAGATGGAAAATATGCAGGATTCAGAGGTTAAAATAACCTATCCAAAATGATTTAGGAGTTAGCTATACTGAGAAAACAAGTGTATTAAATATGTTTATTAGCCTAAGTTTAAACACAGTCAGCACCCATTTTAAACAATGACTTTTTAAAATACTCATTAGGGCATGGTCAGCTCAGGAGTGACCCACTTCATATTTTTAAATGCACTTATGCTGCCAACCCTTTCTAGTTTAGACAACATAGTGTACCTATATGAGGTTTTTGTTTGTTTGTTTGTTTTTAAATATAATCTTATTCCAACCACCATATGCTAAACTGAAAAAGGCATTCTTATACTGGAATAAAAGTGTCTACCTGAGGTGGTTATATAGTATAAATTCATGCCTCTTCTTGGAAAAACAAGACCTTAGTGCAGGACTGGCCAGCATGAGTTCTACAAGTAGGAAAGGCAGCTTACATGTCTGGACTGGAGTGGGATGCCTGCCAAAAACGTCAGCCCCACAGCCAAAATTGAAAAACTGGAACAGGAACTCTAGTATTTGCAACTTTTCCTAATAATCCTATTCTTATTCCCGCAAACCACAATGCCTAAAAAAACCCACAAATAAAAAACTATACCTTTTCAATATAAACGTATTCATTTCTACTACAGAAATATATTTAATTATTCCAAACAGGATCAGGGCTGCATTGTTCTTGACACTGTCCAAACAAATAAAAACAAGAACTCTCACAGTCCAAAACCTACACAATAAGCAGATGGAAGTAAAAGATAAACAGGATAGGAAGTAAGGGAGCAGGGAATTAAGTTCTGTACGACTCTATTCATGATTGTGACATACAGTCTGGTGACTATGGCAAATGCTAGCAAAAGAGCCAAGTGAAATAGTAGAACAAAAGCTCACGTTTAAAATAATGGGTCTCCAAAAGACCTCTATTGTAAGTAGCTTTTATTTTTCTGTACGAACAGTCAATGCTGGGAAAAGAAGGGCCATTATCATAAGAATATTATTGCAACTGCTAGTGTACACAGTAAAATGTGTGTATACCAGTTACTTCTCTTTACCAGCAATAGCTAAATATCAAATCATAAAACAAATGTCTGCATGCTAGACAATGAATAACAACAGACATACATAAAGAAAAATTCACATAGATCATGGCACTGGGAGCTGAAAGCAAATGTCATTATACAGCATGCCCAACAGTCACTAAAGAAAGGTTTTCATCACTCATCATATGGGCAATAAGGCTATGCAAAATTTCACCCGGCATTTCAATTTGAAGCTGTTTCAATGCATTTCAATCTAGAAACAGTGAAACGGAAATGAAACAAAAGCTTTCGAAAAGAAACAAGGGAACTAGAAACGTTTTTAAAGTTTGGGCAGCACCCACCTCCTGTCATCCGGCAGGCAGATCGGGGGCTCGCCCGCACCCCCAGGAGGGCTGCAGGGGCTGTGCTGGACTCGTCCCAGGGGTGTGGGCCCCTCATCCGCCTGCCAGATGACAGGAGGCGGGTGCTGCCATGTGGGGCCAGCAGCAGCACCAATCTTCCTAGTGCTGGGTGCAGGCTGCAGGCCGGTCTCTCATCTGACAGGCAGATCGATGGCTCGCACCCCCAGGAGGACTCGAGCACAGCCCTCACAGCCCTCCCGAGGCAAGCCCCTGATCTGCCTGCCAAATGACAGGAGGTGGGTGCTGCCAACTGAGACCAGCGTAGGGGAGATAGGTGCTTCTGCTGGCCCCAAGTAACAGCACCTGCCTCCTGTAATCCTGTGCGCAGATCAGGGGCTCACCAACACCCCCAGGAGGGCTGCAGGGGCTGTGTCCGAGTCCTCCCAGGGGTGCAGGGCCCCGATCTGCCTGCCAGATGACAGGAGGTGGGTGCTGCCACCTGGGGCCAGTGACAGCACTGATCTTCCCGGTGCTGAGTGCAGGCTGCACCCAGTGCCGGTCTGTCATCTGGCAGGCAGATCGGGGGCCCGCACCCCCAGGAGGACTCAGGCACAGCCCTCCTAAGGGTGTGGGTGAGCCCCTAATCTGCCTGCCTGCTGCATTTTATGATTCCCCATTATAACCTATGGATGAAACGGTGTCAAAACAGCAAAACAGTTTTGATGAAACAAAACAGAACGGTGCTTTCAAAACTAAAAGAAATTCGAAATGAAATGCTGTTCCATCGAAACAGAAGTTGAAACGGAGCGGTGCTGTTTCTCACAGTCCTAATGGGTAACATTAATAAATCAAACAGGCCCCTGGCACACATTCATTTAATGATGCAAAAGCATCTGATCCTCGATCCCAAGACCTGCACCTCCTACAATGCCACACATGCTGGCAGAAGGCGCAATTTTGGCATTGGTGTCAGATTCATTACTACTTGCCAGTGCAGAGGGAACCTGTATGCTGGAAGTGGGGCTGACAATCAGCTGATTATAAGTGCCAGGCTGGAGCGCACTGGGTCCAGTTACAGACTTGGAGTCGCCTGGGCCGGGGCTGATAATTAGCTAGTTTTCAGCCCAAATAGCCCCCAGGTCTTGTTTGAGACCTGGGGCTGCCTAGGGACTGGGACCAACCATCTGTTGACTGTTAAAACCCTGTACCTGGTAGCTATTCTGCAAAGCAACTTTACTACAAGTAAAATCCATTTAACAAAATACTCTAAAAATAAAATGGATTAGACATTCAAATGTCAAGTATGAAATGTACAAAGTATTTACTTGATTCCAAAACACCTTACCTCCCCCGGCCCCCCAGCATTCATCACGGGCTAAACAAAGCTCTGTCTTAGAATCAAGCATCACAGTTAGGATTTGGGAAAAATGACTGTGCAGGGAACCCAAGTCCACATGCAGAGACAGCATCAGCAGCCTGCCGATTCCTGTTTTTAGTGTCTACTCGTACTTGGCTCCCTTCCCTCGTCCCCTGCTCATCTGCCTCACTGGCAGGGAGCCAGGATGGGAAAGAGGAACCTGCACCCAGCTGCTGTGGTCTCTAACCAGCTGAGTTCCCTGCAGACCAGCCCCCCTCAGCTCCCAGCTGGAATCTGACTCAGCTGTAGCAGGCATGGAGGAGCTCCAGAGCCATTCCTG